CCTGCCCCTGCCTTCCCGGCGTCTTCCCTGGTTTTCAGCCTCCGTGACGTCCCGTGGCAATGAGTTCCATGGGTTAAAAGAAGTAGCGATTCAGTGCATGCCTGGTTAATTGGTTGCTTTTCAGTTGTTGTTGAATGTGCTCTTGTTTTCACACTATGAGGCAGAGGAAATTGCGAGGCCTGATTTGCCTTCCCAATAACAATCATTACCACGTCTGCTTCCAGCGAGTCCCTTCTCATTTGTCTCCTCTCCAAACTAACCAGCCCCGGTTCTTCCTTCCTCTCGTTCCACTGAAGCCTCCCCAGGGCTCTAATCAATCTCATCTCCTGCCTCTGACCCCCCTCGGTTTCTGCTATCCATTTTTAGAGATGGGGTGACCGGCAGAGAAGTCAATATTCCAGGTGAGAGCATCACAGTGGTTTATATAACTGTAGCTTTGCTCTCCGTCCCATTCTTCAGATACTCTAACTCTGTGTTTGCTTTGAATGTTGACCCTAAGATCTGGCCGCAGGAACATCCTCCATTGGGCTGCGCAGCCACCCAACGACTGGGATGGGTCTACAACCATTCCCAATGCAGCGCTACTCTCCGAGGGTAGATACTTAATTCTGAGAAAAATCCAGCCAAGCCAAAAAACCTCTCGGCTTCAGATCTGGAGACAGGTTGGGTGTGCAGGTGAGTCACTGCAGGGTTTTACTTGGGCACCTGGCACAGCTATGAAGAGAGTTGCCGTTTGCTAACACTTCAGAGCCGGTCAGAAAATTAGAAGTTGGGTGTTCTAGGGGAAATTCCAACATTTCCATCCCAAACTGAGTGGACAAACCCACCTTTCCAAATATTTGGTGAACAGAGATTCTGATGTATTTCAGTTTAGAAACATCCAAGCCACTCGGTCGAAAGGTTTCACTTGGATGGAGCTGAAATGTTGCAATTTCCCCCCATTTCACCTATTTTCACATAACTTACTGTGCGGGCCGGGAGCGACCCGAGCCCTTTTCGCGCTGCACGCGGGCTGTGGCCAGCAGCCCGGGCACGCCGGGTCGGAGAGGGAAGGCCGTCGAGCTGGAATTAGGCACAGACGCGTATCGGTAGTTTTAAAAGATTGTTTACTTGCACCGAGATGGCAGTGGTGCAGGCTGGAAAGTTTGCTTGAGTTGCGGTTACAGTCAGGAAAGAAGAGAAGCGGACAAGAGTTCTAGACTCGTGAACTCTAGCCCAATCCGGCTGAAGGCTCTGAACACGCGAGCCCGTCGTGTCAGCCGAAGAAAGTACTCGTCCGGAAGAGCTCTGAATAAACTCACATGAAGTTTGCTAGGCTCCGTGGGTCCTTCTGCTCACTCATTCCCCACGAAGTTTGCTTGGGTCCGGTTCGTTTGCGCGCGGGAAGGGATACGTCTAGGAATCTATCGGCGACGGGGAGAGGCTAGAGGTTGATCAGACTTCTGTTGCCTGCTTGAAATGCGCTGGGTCCGTAAGGATCCGCAGCGCTTAGAGATCTTCACGCAGTGTGAAGTCTCCTCCTCCTGGTGTTCGTGGAGTCCTCCAACTTGGGCAGAAACCACTCAAGCCTTTTATATGGCTAGCAAGCCAATCACTAGCCGCCACGTGTGAATAATTTAGAACTGGCCAATAATGGGGCTCGAATTAGCATACAAATGGCGGGAACTCTTTGCAACCAGCATTTCTGTGCTGCAACAAAGAAATGCACCCTGCAAAGAAAGCTTCAAATTGGCGGGAAATTCTCCCTTGCACCGGGGTTCTCTTTTGCAGCAGAAAACTCCACCGTGCAAGGAAGCTGCAATTTAGCGGGGACAATTCAGCAGTGCCGAAGCACACAAAAACAAAAATCACACCCTTTGGGTTGTGACACTTACCACGTGTTTTTAAAAAATGAAGAGTCAGAACCAAATGAAGCGATCATGAGAGAACAGCACGTTTCATTCTGATTTCAAATCACTTGTAAAAATCTTCCCATAAGAAAGTGTCCTCGTAATCCATACCGTGGCCTGAAACCTTTAGGTTTTAAAAACAGAATCCTTGGATGGGGAAACTGCTTCTTTGATCATAGGGTGACTGGGTCTTCTCCCCCCACTCTCTGAAACCCCCAAATTTCCTTTGTAACTATGGTAATTGCAGCAGAGTTTTGCTCATGTTGATTGTTTTATTTCTATGGATAGAGATATAGGGGGGAAACCCCCAACTTTTTAAAATTGATTATCTTCATCGGTGCAACTTAATATGTTCTAGCAGTGGAGCTCAGACTTGTGAACCTGTGGGTGGGATGAGGGGCCCAGCACCAGTCTGCAGGTCAGATCCCATGGGTGTGATCAGTCCACGGGCTGGATCCAGTAAGGGACTGGCTGGCGAAGTTAGTGTGTGGGTTGATCCCGCAGGCTGGCCCGGCCCAATGCACTGGATCTGTCCATAGAGTGATCCTGCGCATCAGCCCGGTCCTGTGCACTGGATCCAGCCATGGCCCAACCCTGTGCCCTGGTTTAACTCAACGTATTGGATTCAGCTGAGAAGGGGCTTCCCACGCTGGCATGATCCAGAACACGGGGCCGCGTCACCAAGCCCGAGGGGCTCCCCATGGGTCTAGACATTTTGGTGACAGCATAAATTGCCGAACTGTGACAATTAATGCTGCCACAGTTCCTCCCCTGCCAAATTTCCAGGCCCATAAGAAGCCCTGCAGGGCGGATAACATGGCTCCATGTGCTGGATTTGGCCCACAGGATTGAGGCTGAGTGCAGCTGTGGGATACCAAGATGAATGATTATCACCGAGTAGGGAAGTCGAGGCACAGATTCGTGCTATAACCTGCCCGTGTCACACAGTGAATCAAGAGCAGAGCTGGGATTAGACCCCAGACAGGCACTTCCCCAGTGTCACCATGAGATCGCGTTGCTTTAATTTCTCCTGCAGTATCGTAGCCTTACAGCCATTAGAAGCGGGAAGTCCTACCAGCTCACCCATTAGCTCCCTGCAAATACAGGGTTTGTCCACGCCGCGTGCTAGCGACTCCAGTACGCTACGCTACCCTCACACAGAAACGATACCAGTGGGAGGACATCCATCATTTCCTTTGGGGGAAGAATGCCACAGCTGAACAGCATGCGGCACTAAGAAATATTTCATGGTGTCTAGCCATTGCCACAGCTTCTATAATCTGTTGATATATTATTAATAGAAGGGAAAATAAATACAGGTATTAATGCTTGCAGACACAATCTTCTACTAATAGCTGTTAAAGTAACATATTCCCCTTGTTTTTAGCTTTTATTAGTCTTTTTGCGGAGGGTTATAAGACCCTTGCGCATCCATTAACCAGTCAGCCATGCAAAATTAATGTCGAGCAATTTTCATAAGCATTACTCAGAACTAATAATAATTAGGCATTATTTTCTGCTCAGATAACACAGCAAATAAAGGCTGACTTTTATGCCAAGATGGGTTTGCATTAGCTTAAGGTGGATGAATTAATTCTCATTTACAAGGCTTCTGTGCTAGCTAGCCAGAAAGCATCAAGCTAATTAAAAGCAATTTGCTAGCCACAATCCTCCTGCACGTTCACACACTTTTATCCTTGCTGCAAGTCCTTGAGCTTTTTCAGTGTTGCAAAGGGTGAGACGTTGAAGAGCCATTGTTCTGTGTTGCCTAACAACTTCGTATTCTCTTTCCAGACAGCTCAAGAGACTCCAAGGTGGCAAACAGATGTCACCTCTGTGATGCCATTACATCTTTTATGGAGGCACAAAAGCTGAGTGAACGGATGTCCTAGTCCTGGTCCCCGCCACAAATGCCCAAACTTGTGAGCGTGACTGAACCTTGCAATATTTTGTGCTTCTTTTTGTCATGACTAATGTCTGTTTGCTTATGGTGGAAGAGCATGAATGGCCCAGGACTGCCAGTGCTCTCCAGCTGCCCTGGGCAGATGCTCCCGGGCGTCAAGGGACCAATCATGCATGCCTAGGGTGCCCGTGTCTATCTGCTGCACCCCATGTTGGATCATAGCTCTGCAAGCAGGGGAGCCCCAGAGCCCCTCACTTGCAGATGGTGCCCTGGGAATCTCCCACCTGGATCGTCTCCTGACCTGTGCGCTGAGGGAATCCCTTGCTGGGTATTCCTGAAGCATTTGTGTGCAAGCAGGAGAGAGGTGCCCCCTGACATGGGGCACAGCATCAGTCAGGCTCAGGGCTTTGAAAGGCCATCAGCTGTGATGGGATGCAACCTGGCCGACCTCAGTCCTGCGAGGGCCTACATCACTGTGCAATGGCCTTTGTTTGACAGCCAGGGGTCAGGGTGTCTGGGGTCCTGACAACCTCCTGTCATGTGCTGAACGCTCCAAACCAAGCTATTTTCACTTGGAAGTGGAAATACTTCCCACGTGCCTATGATAAGTCCCTGAAAAAGACCCCGTTTTTCTTTTCTTCCTGTGTGTAATGACCCATTTGGTTGCAGGATAATACTCAGCCACCCTGCATACTGCACATTATTCCAAACAGGTGTGGGCTCCTGGTAAACAAGAGAGACAAAGCTGGAAATCAAGCTGTGTTTGAGCTTTCTGTCTGAGCCTGCAATTACTAGCCATCTTCTTTATTACACGCTGCCTGTTTAGAAAGGCTCAGAGTCCATACGTCATGGCACTATTTACCACAATGTGTCTAATTACCATAACTAATGAGTGACTCACAAAAAAATCTCCCTAGCTCTCTTCTGCTTTTCAATAGCACTGCAATGACCAGAGCGCAGGCAGTCTGACCCAGCCACGGTGGAGGGATTGTAACCGAGAGGCCACCAGAGCTAGAGTTCAAAAGCCAGGCCCAGAAGCAAGAACCAGAAGACAAGTCAGAGTCAGGAGCTGGAGGCAGAAAACCAGGACAGAGGCCACATTCAGGCACCTGCAAATCCCAAATACTGCGAGGGAGCTGGGATGGAGCAGAGCTAGGGACCAAAGCAGGGGCTGAGACAGGAATACAGGCAAGACCAGGGAACCAGGCTTAGGCAGTCATCCAGGGCCGGCGCTGGAAGACAAGATCTGTCAGCAAGCAGAGACCAGGCAGCAGCAGGCTGGAAGTGATGAGATGCCAACATCCTTTCAACCTTTCACTGGCTGCTTCTCTTCCCAGGGTCTGTAGGGCTGGGGAATCCATCAGGTTCCTCTCCAGTTGTGACTCAAATAAGCCCCTTAAAAGCATCCTGTAAAAATTCAATCACTGTTTGATATTCAGGGAGGAGAGCTGCTCACTGTCTAGTCCATTCAGACCAGATTCTGAATACTCAGCACCCAGAAGGGCAGCCAAGGAAAGTCAATATTTTTCTAACAACTGCCCTGCTGTTACCTTTGCTGGTAGGCTAGACAATACATGCATTAGCCCCGAGGCAACTGTTTGAGACGTGCTGACATTTGAGAGGGCTGCTATCCTGTTCTCAGGATATTTTTTGCATAGCTCAGTGCTTGTGGTGTCTCCCTTTCTGCCTGGGCCATCTCCTCCTCCTCTGAACTATCTGGGCTGCAACCATCTTGGCATCTAAACCCACCATGCTGAGAAGGAGCTCATCTGGATAATCCTGCCAAAGAGGCTATTGGGGAGAAAGGGTTGAGATCATAACATCATAACATCAGGACAGTTTTCTTGCCATTTCCCAGCTGGTCTAATAAAAGGTGTCATTTTGGAACCAAGAGTTCTAGGGTTTTCTTTGAGATAGTAACATGGATTTTTATTAGGATTTGAAAATGTTTATTAGCAAAATAGTTGATACAAAATAGATAAAGAAAAGGAGAGAAGATTTAGGAGGCGCTGGGCACTTCCTGGCCCCCGAAAGGAGTATCTTGGCACTTGTGGTGTTCCCCTTTGCTTCGGGGATGAAAGGCTTCCCTTCCAAGGCTGTCTTTTTCTGTATCCAGAAGAGGTAGTTGATGATGATGGTGTACATTCCCGGACTGTGTCTTTCTGCACAGTTCTGCCCCCAGCTGACTATGCCGACTGCAAACCACCTCCTGATGTTCCCGTAGGTACAAACCAGTGGTCCTCCACTGTCACCCTAGGATTTAAGAAGGCAGCGTAATGGGAGATGGTACAGCACGTTCTGTAGCAATCAGAGCCTGGCCTTATATCCACTATGCATCTGCATGAGCAAACCAAACTTGCCTCATGCTCAGGGGCAATTTGGACATGGCAATTTTGGACATTGGAGGGCACTGTGGAGGCTGTTTTACCAGTACACATGTGCCTCCTGCTGTAATTCATTAGGAAAGACATTACTGGGGGTAGATTGGTATTTGGTTCCCCCTGCTGCGAGGAATTACACGCGGGACTTAATTTGATTGAAAGACCATGGCGTGAAAACACAAATGCGACACACCAAAATAACCCAGGTTAAAATTTTTAAAGCTTGCTAAATTAATGAGGATGTAATGCCGTGGCGTGTACAAGTGCCTCATGGGTTTTCTATGAGATGCCCGAGAAACAGACAGACATGGAAGGTACCAATTCAATGTGAGGCCATGAGAGCAGCATGGGCAGCAGCAATGCTGGGTTTCTGTACCCCATCCAACCCCAGCAACATGCCTTAACCTTGAGCCCATGTAAACCATCATCCAAGAGTGGGAGGGCTCAGTGCCTGTGACTATGCAGTCCTTGGCCTCTTCTATTAACCCAGTTGCCAGTTAGTTTCCAGCCGTGGTTCGTGCGGGCGGAGGGGTGATGACATTGCAATATTTCAATAAGAAACCATGAACAATCAATCCAATAAAACCTCTCCTCAACCAGGCTAAATGGACTGACAACAAGCTCCCGTTTTCAAAGAAGACCTTGGCCCAGATGACGCACGCCAGCCTCTGATGAACATTATTGCCGCACTGAAAAGGCAAGTGCTTTCGTTTGCCGCTGTGGCATGAAAGTGGAGGATTTGTTTAGTTTCCTGTATGATGTCTAAGTACAAATGCAGCCAAGCACCCGTTGGAGAGAGAAAGGACCAATGTATAGCGCTGATCAAAAAGCACCCGGCAAGACACAGTGTCTCTCTTGTAAATGTCATGTGACTTATTTCCAGCATTAAGTGCTTTAAAGTCTCTGCTCTAAATAATACAGAGCTCAATCTTGCACTGGGCCCCGCCATTTTACTTTCTTGTCTCCGATAATTTATGTGGCATGTCAGAAATTCAGGATCAACACATTCCCCAAGGCAGAGCCGGCTTCCCTGGGAAATGTTCTCTCTCTCTTTCATCCCCGTTTGAAAAGCAGCTCTGACGGCGGTACGCGCTGCCTCCTCCGCGCACACAGCTTCCCAAAGCTGCTTGCTCGGATTAACTAATGAGCAAGGAAATGGGGCTCGTTACAGTGTCTGATCCTGCTCCTATTGAAGTCTATGGCAGAACTCCCATTGGCTTCAATGGATGCAGAGTTTGGGCCCATATGGTGTTTGTGTTTTTTCTAGTTTTCCCCCAGCGTATGCAGGGAACAAATCAAACTGAAGATGGAGAGAAGGCTGCGTAAACTCATCACTAGTATTAATTATTCCCATTGAAGCAGCTTGGATCTTCAGGCCTGGCCTATTGTCCTGGACACTATAGAAATACAGGGCAAAAAGATAAGCTCTGCTCCCACACTGACCTTATAATTGCAGGGATCCTATTCATGCTCTCCTGGAAATGACCTTTGATTCGCACAGGATTACTATGCAGGGATACAGGATCCCTGTCAATGAATCTCTTCCTACAGCCTGCACTAACTGAGATCAATGGGACTTTTGCTAGTGAAGCTATGTTTTCTTCCTACAGTAATAGGACTGTGTTTTGTGTCCCCTACTGCAGTATGAGAAGCAAAGTCTGTGGAGGGTTACTTATGAGCCCCGTTTTATAACTGGGGAAACTGAGCAAAGACGTGATATGATTTGCCTAAAGGGATGGGTCATCATAACCTCCTTCACTAGAGGTTTTCAAGCAGAGGCTGGACAGGCATCCACCTGGGATGGGTTAAGACTACCAACCCCCTGTCTCCAGTCCTTGTTGGTATGGAATCGGGGAGCTTTAAAAGTTACCCTATTTTCTTACATACAGCTAGCAACGAGTGAGCTGCTGGCGGTATCTAAGATGAAGCTTGTGATGTGGAACCAGCATTTATAAAGAAAAGAAGTAAGGCCTTTCTACTGCCCTTGAAAGGGTCCGGGGCTTAGCCTTGTGTGATATATGGCAAGTCCTCCTGGAAACATAAAGTGTCCAGAAGCATGACATCCCAGGAGCAGCTGTGGGATGCCACGCTTTAAGTTTCCAGAAGGACTTAAGCTACGTCATACCGTCAGCGGAGACTCTGGAAAAATCTTTTTTGCTCTATTCTGCCTTCCAAAAAACCGGCGCATGTTTTCTTGGAGGCGTGTCGTAATCAAGAACATATGGTAATGGGAGTGAGGTGCCCACCCACATCTGAAAATCACCCTTTAGGTCCTATCTGCCTCTTCAGGCATCTGAATCCCTTTACAAATCTGAGTCACAGTGCTCCATTCCCATGAAGGAGAGGAGACGAAAAGGGCACAGACCCTTTTAGGCAAAACACTCCCAAAACTATAAAATGCTAGGGTGTGGGATGTTTCAACTTCCAGCCTCCCGTACCTTTGCTGTTGGAATAGCCCTGGTCAGCAATAGATGTCAGACATCTGGTACTGCTAATTAGTCAAAGAACCCAGTTCTCGGGCACAGCGTTACTTAAAAATAGCGCCCTGCGTCAGCCGCTCATCGTTCAGCGTACAGCACGGCCACACAACCAAATGAAAGCAAATTCACGGGGTCGGGGACTTACTGTGGAACAGCTGACACATGGTGACTGCACGTGTTGGCATTGTACGTAATTACTGTGCAGTAAGCAAAAGCTAAAGCAAGGCCATTTAGCTCTGCTTCCTTAAGGGCAAAGCTATCCCAGTTTAACTTCCACTTGCCACAGTGTCATTGTGAGCACAAGAAGAGTTACTCGGCATCAGCTGTTCCCACCCAGAGCCCCAGTTTCCCGTTCAGCTCGCTTTGATTCTTCGCCCCTACCCTTAGGAATGAGTATAATCAACCACAGTAAATCAGGCCTCATGCTTAATTCATGCACTCCAAGAGTGCTTGTTAATCCTCCCATGGGGAAAAGGGAGGAGGAGGGTATATTTGCTAGTAAATAATCCTGTGGACAAATAACCTTGTTTCTGTTTCTTAAATTCACCCAACCATTCATCTTCCTTCAGCACCTCCCGAGTCTACTGTGAATGCTGGGAGTCTTTCTATTGACTTCAGTAGGCTTCGGCCGATGGCCTTTGTCACTTCTCATCTCATTTTCATTCGTGCCCCCGACATTGTCATTGATCAGGAAACACGCACACGCACACATTCAGCCATTTGCATCTTTTTAGGTGGGGGCTGCTAAGAGGGAGGGCGAACAACCCAACATATCATCAGATGCTCATTAGGGGAAGGCACAGCTCTCACAAGTCACTGCTGGTTTCCCGTCCTTGTTGGTATGAGGGCTATAAATTGAAGAGGATCAGCATTTAAAATAATGGCATTTGCCATTAGCCCGGTTCAGACTGCAGGGAATACAGGCTTCGACACACAGAGAGGACGGTTTTATTCCTGTTGTCTCTGAACCCACAATGGTTAGAGAAAGCTGCAAGGATGGAAAATCACGCATGAACATTAATGGTCTTTTCCAACGTGTGGGCGGGAAGGACAAATGTAGTCCTTGCCCCAGGGCTCAGCGAACATGGTAGGGGGATTCAGTTCTGGACTCTACTCCAGGGTCCCTTTGAGATCTTGGGCAAGTCACTTCATTGACCTAGTGCCTCAGTTTCCCCATCTGTAAAATGGGACTAACAGTGTTATCCTAACCCACTGGGGAGCCCTGGGGATACAATCCATTAGTATGAGGCTCAGATTTGACAGTGATGAGGGATATTCAAATACCTGGAACAAAGGAAGAAGCCCCCATCTTTGGGATCTGTCATGATAAAAGAGGAACATATCATCAGGCTAGAAGGGGCCCCCAGAGAGCTCATCCTGCAAAGCAGAGGCCTCCTAAACAACAAACTTCTAGGAGCAAAAGCCCACCCAGGCCTAAATTAAACATTTCTAGTGATGGAGAATCCACCATGGCCTTTGGTGAGTTATTCCAGTGTTTCATGCCCCTCGCTGCCTTATTTCTAGTCTGACCTTGTCCAGCTCTCACTGCCAGCTAGGGTTATATATTTATATGATAGACAGGAGAGGCCTTTAGCACCCCGTTTCTGTTTCCTCTGTAGGAATGCACATGGTGGGACCAAGTCGCCCTGCAACGTTGACTTCAATGGATTAAACAGATTGAGCTCCTGTGGTCTGGCACTGCTTGCGCACCCATGAAAGATGTGGGTGGCTTTTGCCTCTTGCACGAGACGTGACACGTGAGTGCATACAAGCAGGAAAATCCACAAACCCTCTACTCGATCTCCCCAAACTGTTCAGGGCTTGGCTTCTGCACTCAGATGGCCCACAGCTGAGTCCTGCTCACCTCATTGATTAGGCTGTGCTTGTCCTCACTGTGGCCTAGTCATGGGGAAATGGACTCAGACCTACCGTTTCCCGGTGGGGTAAGAGTCAACACAACCACAGTTAACAGCAAGTAGAGACTCGCCGCACATCAGACATCATAGCCACAGCCCTGCTCCAAGACCTTACTACATGCATCAACAAGTCACGTTAAAGGTGAAAGAAAGGGAGCATCATCCAGAAACACAAGGCTTCAAACACCACCCTCCTGAATGCCAGCGCACAACCAGCTTTCCTATACCACCAACCTGAACCATGCTCAAGCTGGTGGTCTCCAAGCCTCTGGATAATCCAAATCTTCCCTTTCCTACAAACCTTTTGAAATGGAACGGGGCTATTTCCCGAATCTTGATGAGCTAAGCAAGGCAATTAAGAGGCATTTTCTTTGTGAGCTAAAGCCCTTACACTTCAATTATTGCTCAAGTTACTTTTGCTTCAGAATCTAACAAAAGATGCCTAAGAAAACAAGGAATTAGACCTAAATTGTGATTCGCAGGGTCACCGGAGAAAAGCGGCACACGTGAACTGCACAGATAATTTCTAGTGCCTGCTCTTTAGCGTATGTGTGCTTCAGTCATCCATTAATGCTAATGTTTATGTCTAAATAGAACAATCAGTCAATGGCGGATCCTATTAACATTAATTCAAAGCCTTTCTGGATATTTCTCTGAAGAACCCTTAGGAAACGGGTATACGATAGATTGTTTTAATTGAATTGATTTTTTTTTTTAAGTAAAAATTTGCGAGAGCTATGCTATTGAATCTCCCTGGGATATTATAGAAACCCCATCAATAGCCCACAAAGCAGTCATGTTTCTGCAGTGGTATAATGCTTCCACCCTTTATCGGGCATGGCCCCTTGCAGGTGCTATGGTCACATATAATTCTGTCTGCACCCCCATCGATTGCTACAGAGCAATGAGGGCCAACCTTTTTGCCAGAGGTGCCACAAATTAAGCTCCAGACCCTCCCCAAGACCCCAAGACCCACTCTGATCCCCTTTCCCTGTCCAATCTGCTGCTCTGCTTTCTTCTCCCTGACCTGTGCTCCCTCATAGAAAATTGGGGTTGGAGGGGACCTCAGGAGGTCGTATCTTGTCCAACCCCCTGCTCAAAGCAGGACCAACCCCAACTACATCATCCCAGCCAGGGCTTTGTCTAGCTGAGTCTTCAAAACCTCCAAGGATGGAGAGGCCACCACCTCTCTGGGTCATCTGTTCCAGTGCTTTACTACTCTCTTAGTTTTCCTAATCTTTCTAGCCTCAACTTCCTTATTTCTAACCTAAACTTCCCTCCCCAATATGCTGCTCTGCTTTCAGCTCCCCCCACGATATACCCTTCTGCTGCCTGCCCCCTCCACCATCTACTGCATGCCACACGCACACACTGCCCTTGTCATGCGTGTCACAGGTTGGGCACCCCTGCTCTAGACAGCGACACACTGAAACCCAGCATGACTGTGCCACCCTGGGCAGGTGCAATGTAGCCACCCATATTGTGCGCAAGAGGGGTGTGGCTATAAGCTTGCTCTCTCAAGAGGGCTTATTGGTGTGTCCGGCACATTTGACATCCTTCTGGGATGTACCACACAAAGCAAGTGTGTCATGATTCACCTAGGGATACCCTAGTGCAGCCTCTGGACCTTGTAGACGCTTCTACCCCTTTCTAATGGTCAGAAAGGGTGAAGCTATTTAATCAACCATTCCTAGTGGCCCCTATTACTACAGTCATATCAGTAGCAAGGGTTGCTAGAGAAATATCAGTCGGAGATGCTGAAGTACCGGTGGGTTGTAGCACAAGGTGGAGAGACCTAGGGGCACACACCTGTGATAAGGCAGCAGGCAGCAGCAGCATAGAGGCAGGTAGTTGTGCAGATACATCTAATAGACATGCAATGCATAACTCTTGACTAGTCCCCAGGTCTGGAGTTTTAGCTCCAGTTCATCCCTAAATGTATGAAGAGACAATTTCTCCTGCTCCTGCTCTCTCACAGTGTACTGGAGAGCACCCAGGGTTCAAGGCATGAAGACTCAAACCCAGTGCCCCTTCAAGTGGGAAAGCAGCATTTACACAGATACAGACCCCACTCCATAGAGGGGGCCCAGTGGTGGGGTCAGTGGGATGGGCACTGACGTGGAAGGGAGGGGTCCTCTGGCTTCTGCCTCTGCTCCTGCCCCCCGGGGTAGTCCGTCTCTTGCACTGAACAGAGCAAAAAGATAGGCAGCAGTGGAGGTAAATGCCAGAACCAGGATCCTTCTGGCTTGCTCTGTTTCTGGCCCCATATCTTCTCTTCTTGATTGCCCAAAGGGCCAGCACCAACTGGAGGATGGAGGCTACTCCTGGTCCTGCTGAGCCCCTGGCCTTGGGGTCAAAGCACTCTGCTGAGAGGTGGGAGATATGGGTTCAAATCTCCTTTGACTAAGGGAGCATAGAAACTGGGTCTCCCACTCTCTAGGCAGGTGCCCTAGCTGTCAGGTAATGAGGCTAAAAAGTGGGAAGCTCCTTTCCCCTCCCATCACATTTTGGGGGGCAGGACATGCTTCCCTGAGTGAGGTAGGATCTAAAGGACTTATGTACCGAAAGGCAGAGCTCAATTTGGGCCTAACCCTTCAACAACAGGGAGAAGGAGCCTTCACAAAACACCTCCTTCTCTCCCCTCCCTGCTCAGCATTCATCAGGGCCCCTTCATGGGGGGCTCAGCACACATTTCAGGGCACTGTTTGCAAAGTCCATAGACAGGTTGAGCTAATTCATGTGGGTGCAGCGCTGATATTCATGTCCCTCCCACAGGTACTTAGCAGGGCTGGGCAGACAAAGGCCAGTTCACTTTGGGGGTGGGGTGGGGGGGAGAGATTTTGAGAATTCGAATCCAATGAGATTTCAAAACCGGGTTTCAATCTGATTTAGGAGATTTGCAAATCCTCTGTGAAAGGGAATTGAGTGCCCTGACTCTGAGTGCTTCCAGCCTGCAAGATAAGACAGGCTGGAAGCTCTGGGAGCAGAAAGAAGAGCCTGAGAAATCACACACTTAGGTCATGTGTAGGCTGCCGCGGCTGAGTGCCCAGTCATGGCATCAAAGAAATAAGCCCTGCTCACTCATCCCCATGCCTCACGTGTCTATGCTGAACAGGAGGTGATTGGCACGCTCAAAACATGGTTTTCCAGAGTGCCCAAGAGCAGTGGTTATGGTCCTGCTCCAGGTATTCTCCCTGCCTCATTTCTGGAGTTGACGTGAGGATATGTGGAGAGGGACCAGGCAGGCAGAGCTTATTTCCTCCGCTGTCTGAGTGTAGACATGCCTTTTGAGGCCAGGGTGCCCAGGGTCCCAGCTCCTCAGCCTGCCTGTTGGATGGGTGAGGCAGCTGTCATGAGTATCTGCTAGTTCTCTAACCGAACATCACTGGAACGGAAACATTTCCACGGCAAATTGGGGAGGGAATAGCACGGTCTGAATGCTCCTGCACTGGCTCTTGTCCCTACTCCAGGGTTTTTCATCATTTCAGATTATAACGCATTTCCTGCTCCAAATCTAGCAACTCTCCATTAACGGTGGGCAATAGCTGAGGCTTCATATTAATGAGCTGGACACCTGACCTCTGAGGTCGGGCCTGGAGAACTCTGCCTTGTATACACATGCCCTGTTTGTCTGGCCCCCACATTACTTGCTCCCTTCTCCAGATGCTCCAGTGTATTATAGATCAAAATAAAGCCCTAGTCAGCTTTTTTTGGATACATGAGCTTCATTTTGCTGGTACAGAGGGGTCTGGCTGTTGCAACAGCATCAATCAAGCACAGAACTTAAGGCCGGAATAAAGAAGTGCATTATTTGATCATATTAATGTTACCCCCTGGCAGTTTTCTTTTTAAAATTTTTGATTGAATTGAACGCAGGTGAAAGTGGCCAGATGAATGGCTTTCGGAGACTGAAATTCTCCCTCTGTTCCAGGGATGGGTGTGTAAAGCTAAGCTTCTCTTTGCTGCCTCAACAATGTGGTTTCACCCTGCCTGAGGAAGAGGACTTCAGTGGATCGCAAAGGAGGTGACGCTTCCTGGCCTCATCAGACATTGATAAGGCAGCTTCTATTTGTTGCCAGTGAAACATAAGTCAAGCTGTACCATAATACAAGGCGGCCGCGTCCTCTGGACTGAGATCACCATGTTTATGGTTACACCAACCTGTGAGCAGCTGGAAGAGAAGAACAATGTTTGGCAGGTACCTGGGTTCAAGGCTGGCCATCAAGATGGCCTCCTGTGAATTTTTGGGGAGGGAATAATCCAGACTTGGCTCATTTTTCCTCCTTTTCATTGTCTGCGAGCACTGCTAAAGCCATCCAGTAAGCTCATCTGCTTCCCTAGCAGGGTGGAAACAGCTCTACTACTGCCTCTCCCGGGGCAAGACAATGGAGGGTGCTTAACAGTGAGGCCAGGTGCCATGCTCCAAAGTGAGCGCAATGTTTCTGCTAGCCCCTGCTACCCCCCCGTGAGCCCTGCACCTCCGCTGTCCTCATCAATATGCTTTCCAGACAGCTCCCTGGCTGCCCTTCTTAAGAGTTTCACAGCCTGGACACATGCAGCAAAGCATTAGCAACCCCAGGAAGCTGTGGAGAGGATCGATGTTCATTACCAAAGCAAATAAGCTTCCATTTTTGAGCTCTCCCGGCCCGTGTCAGCAGCACGGCGAGACAGGAGCATGCTGACTATACCTGGCAGGCATCTTTCCCTCCTTCCTCATAGCCGGCGCACAGCATGTTGTCGGTCAGCTGCGAGATCCACTGGGCGCACTGCTTCTGGCTGATCAGCTGCATCTCCACTTTCTGGAGCATGGTGGTGGTTTTTGTCTTGTCCCCTGCCAGAAAGAGCAGGGTCAGGTCACAGCAGGACATCAGGCAGCACATCGCAGCAACACAGTCCAGCTTTCCAAACACAGAGGGGCATAAAGGCATCCGGCCCAGGCGAAGCCCCTGGAGGATTTGCACCTCAGGGGAAAACAGCTTCATGGCTCCCTAGCAAAGTCCTTCTGGCCTAGGATGAACCTTTACCGTGGCTGGGCCAAATCTAGGCACTTTGGGGATGGAGGAGAAGTAGAAGTGGTGGGAAAATATGGAGCAGCCCCATGCCAGGCCCTTCTTGCGGTGCTAGGGCTATGACACCAATGCAGGCTATCTGAGGGCCTCACTTTTGGTGGGGAAAGGGGGGATCTGGCCCCCGCAGCTCCTGAGTGGGGGAAATACATGTCCCTCCCTTGTCCATTGAGGTGCCAGAAGTCCTTGGAGTTGCTCTGCCATTATCAGGCTTCCTCCAAGGCAGACCTTACAATCCTAAACCATAAAGGGAAAGGGGGTTTTAGGCCACCTCTGTGCCCTCTTGACTCTGGGCTGTCCCACAATAGCTCCCAGTAGAGATTCATCAGGGGGATGAGGGGGTCTCTCCAATGTGACATTGTCTTTCACTGGGGGCAGCACTGCTGAGACTCCCCGTGCACCCCGAGTGCTGTGTGCCCTGGCAGGCCCCCAGCAATTGGGTCGTGCTAGGGGCTGCTACATGGAGCACCGCAGATCTCCCCCGGGCAGCTCAGCCTCTTTTAGCCCCCATGTGTTGCTCTGGGAGCAACACCGCTGCTACTCTCCTAAACTCTCCCAGAGTACTGATACTCCCTCCTCATCCCAGAGCTTGGAGTAAGCAACTCCTTACTGCCTATAAGCATACCAGACCTCATTTACACCAGATGAACTCCACTGTCTTGGGGCATGTCCACAACAAAGACATCCCATACTCACCCCTATTCACCCATACTCACACCTATTCCCATACTCACCCCTATACACCACTTGGGGAAGATCCTCAGCAAAGACATCCCATGCTCAACCCTATTCACCCATACTGACACCTATTCCCATATCCACCCCTATACACCGCTTGGGGCATGTCCTCAGCAAAGACATCCCATACTCACCCCTATTCACCCATACTCACCCCTATTCCCATATCCACCCCTATACACCGCTTGGGGCATGTCCTCAGCAAAGACATCCCATACTCACCCCTATTCACCCATACTCACCCCTATTCCCATATCCACCCCTATACACCACTTGGGGCATGTCCTCAGCAAAGATGTCCCATACTCCCTGCTATTCCCACATGCCAAACTCAGACCTGAGGTGATGGGGGCAGCTCACACCTCCATCCCCAAGATCTCAGCCTCCCACAGGTTGGAGACTGGCATCAGGGGGCAACCTCCAAACAGCTTCACTTCCAGGTTTGGTGCATGGGCGGGGGGGGGGAAATGCCGTGTGCTCGAGAGCATTTCTGCCTGGGAGAGCTGGGGAGATGGTGCGGATACACCCCTCCAGAGACAGATATGCTGAGCACAGGGAGGGAAAACCCTGCCCCTGCCTTCCCTGGAGATTTAGCAAGTTAACCTAATAAAGAGCTGCAGCCCATGAAACAGGCTGAGAGAGCATCGTCAGCTCATGAGGAAGACCCCGTGCATTCAGAAACAGTTTCTGAGGAGCCCACAGGGAAATGCCACCCTCTCCTGGAGGAGCTGGTTCCCAGAAAAATACCCCACCCTGTGCCCAGCTTTGACCCACACTGTGCAGCCACCATCTGCCTTTGCATCTTAGCCATGGCTTGGACAGGGGCAGCAGGGTAAAACGGGATAATGCCTTTTTTAACAATACCAGGGAGACTGAATGGAAAAGCAAGCCTGCCCCCTCACAAAGGGGGAGCTCAGAGAAGAGAAGATAGGACCAAGCCCCTGCACATCAAGGACCAAGAAGAGTCCTGATGTAAGGAGATCCAAGGGAGCTTGTTATATCTCCTTGGTGCCGTCTACCATCACAGCCCCTTCTGGGTACACATCAATTCCAGTTCATTTGGGCCTTGTCCAGAGGAGAATGATGCCAGGAGGCAGCCTTAAACCACCTGAACTAAATAGCCTCTCAGCCCCTGAAGGAGGTTGGTAGCCTCCCAGCTCCTCATCAGCCTGCCCATTGCATGGAGGAGCTGGCTGGTGTGAGCTTCTGCTGGTTCTCTGCCCGAGCATCGCTGGGACTGAAACATCTCCATTGAATGCTGATAAAAACATCTGTCAGATGACCCTCTCCCCATGGCATGGTACCTGCAACCGTGGTTCCCCATCCAGCCACCCAGCAGTTCTTCCACGTGCGGAGATCATGTATCAGGGGCAAGCAGACAGGGACCTTATGTTCATTGAGCCGGATAGGGGAGTCGAGCAGGAGCAAGGCGATGTCGTTGTCTAGAGTCAGCTTGTTGAAGTCTTCGTGAACAATCAGCTTGTCCAGCTTTTTCATCTCTCTCTGGTGGCTTTTCAAGTTGACCACCCCAACCGCCACGGTGAGATCTGGTGGCCTTATTGATAAAAAAGAGAGTTGGAGGATGGTCTGGGGCAGACGTGTTATCCTACAGAGATGGGGATGGTTGTTCTGAACAAGACATGGAGGTCCTGGTCCCAGAGGGCACCAAAAGCCACCTCAACACGAGGGTAGGTAGCACCATGAAAAGGTTCGTCCTCATGCTGAGCTGTGCCTCGCTCTGAGAGCAGCCAGCTCGAGGGCACTGAAGCGATTCATGGGGCATTGGTGTACAATGCTGATGTTTTCAATTTTCTCTGCAACATTTTAGGAGATGGCAGTTGTTTAATAACATTTCCCCCTATTGGGTTTAAACACAGAAACCACGTGGCTGCGCAGATCTTTGCGTGGCTCTGTTGCAAACCCACCTTCAAACATGGACCTGGGCTGACTCACTGGTTTACAGAGGAGACATTTCCAGGGGACAGGGGTCTATGTCTGGCTTGGTCCCTTGGATGCATGTCTTGTGTACTTATAAGACCCCGATTGCCACAATATCGGAGCCCCTTCCCGTTCTCAACTCTATTCATCCTCACAGGACCCTTGGTAGGAGCCCATCGATAGCCTCTCCTGAAGTAAGTTGCTGCTTATGAAAGCTCTTGCCTCTCTGAACCAGTTAGTCTCTAAGGTGCCAACCTGCCCTACCTACCACATGCTGCTCTTATGAGGCAGGACAGGGCTGCCAGTTCCATTTTACAGAGCAGGAGCTGAGGCCAGGGGACACTAATGGCTTGATGCTGCTCTCTGTGACCCCAACGGGGCAGAACGAGGTGCACAGTAAAGGTCTCATAAGAGGTTGTGGCAGAACAAGGATGTGAACTGCAGTCTCTCTGGGACCCTGAGCCCAGAGCACCCTTCTTCTGGGCCTCCGTTTCATCTCCCACCCTTTGTCTGTCTCATTCACTTGACCATGAGCCCTTCAGGGCAGGGGTTGTCACTGACTCTCTGCCCAGAAGCTACTGCTAGAGGCCCCAGTCTGGGTTGCCACACTTGCCACACTTCAAGTATTCAAATGTCACTGATCACTTATCTTGCTGGGATCATTTGACCCCAGCAGACTTCCTGCCCCTGGGGCAAGGGGCTGGACCCGATGATCTTGTGAGATCCCGTCCAGCCCTAATGTCTATGAAATCACAGCTGTTGAGCAATCACTTTCCCTGTTTTGCATGAAAAGGAGAAGAGCAGGGCAGCTTTTGCTTCCTCAGCCAAGTGCAAAGACCCTTGAAAGGGACCTAACGCTCTTGCAAAGGTTGTGCCCAGCTCAACACATCAGTGCCTCCTGTGGAAGTGGGATGGGCCATAGGACGGCAACCTAGGTCATAGTAAAGGTAGGTGGCTGGGAGTCAGGGTGCTAACAAATGTTGTCTTTGTCCCTGGAGAAAGCCTTTACTCCTGGAATCATACAGAAGTACACATCCATTATCCCACTTCAGGTCCCTCTAAAGAATGCGGCATCAAATGTAACAACACTTTTGCCTGGGACGCGCTGTTGTACGTCTGTACAGTGTCTATGCTTCATTCTGGGTACAAACTGGGCTGGCTGTGTGCCTTTGCTGGCCACCTACTGGCAAAGGAGCTTGGGAGGGCGATGTGCACACATTGGCTGTGCCATCCCAGGCTTGATCTGGGTCAAATCACAAGACAGTCGATCCCAGGTCAAATGAGACATCTGTCTACGGTCTGAGTAGTTTTTGGGCCCAACCCTGCCATTGATATCCCATGTAGGATGACAGTCCCTACTCTACCCATCCCCTCCCATTCGCTGTGGAGAGGCCGTGGTGCCAGCCACCACCACCTACTCCTTTGATTTCCAAACGAGCATCTCATGCTTGGGAGGAGTTTCACCTTAACCATCCACTTGACTATTTTGCTTCCAATCCTCTTTTAAAACTCTCCTTCCAGTGATACCTACAGAAGCCTGGATACTGGTCAGGGGCTGAGCTCCCCATTTGTCATGCTGATCAATGAAGCCTCCTTGGGCTTCTCCATCCACCTGTTGTCTCATGTTTTAAATCTAGACTGGAAGCTCTTTTGGAGCTGGGGCCATTTCTTTGTCATCTGTTTATAGAGCCCTTAGCACAGTGGGGGCCTAGTCTGCGGCTGGTGTTTTTAGGCACCACGGTATTAGTTATTATCATTGCTATATACACGACTTACAAAATGGTTTGAGATCCATGGGTAGAAGGGGCTTACAAGGACAAGGCTTATTGGGAATGGTTATTACACAAGCAGAAGTACTGACAGGACTTGATGTGGGTGGGGCTGAAGTATGACAGGGGTTGGATCCCATGTAGGACATACCTGACCCCTGAAATGCTACTGGCTTGGTGCGCGCCCTGCAACCCAACTCGGTTTTGACAGAATCTAATTGGTACCACCTTATTACCGTACTTATTTGCACACCCCATGTACCTTTCCCCAAAAAATAGCTTTCCAAAACTGGGGTGTGTATCTTAAGTGGGGAAACTGGTTTGCTGCCCAGAATAGCAGCAGTGGCATTTCTATTTAGGCAGTGCTGAAGGAATCAATTGAGGTTATGGTTCATTATGCCTTACTTAATTTCTGCTAATTGCTCTTCACTCAATGACCCACTCTCCTTTTTAATGGTTTGGATGTTCGACTAATCAAGCTGTCCTTTCTTCGGGAGGCTTGCTGAAGAATCTGCAATTTAGCTAATCCCAATCTCTCTCCTCCTATTTCACAGCCCTGAAGACTATATTTGGCTCTTGTCAAAATCCGTGGAGTCCAGTCTTCAGCAGCAGCTAGAGTTTCAGCTTGTGGCTGAGGAGTCAAGAGCAGCTGACAGTTTAGTTGTGGTTAAACCTGCAGCTTTTGCTCAGGCGCAGATGCAAGATTTGGCAAAGGGGGTGTGGGAACAGCCACCCATGCTGCAGAGGTGGCTGCAGCCCTGCTCCCAGCCTCCACCCCCTCACCTGTGGGGGCAGATTGTCCTGCAGGAGCCCCTGGGAACTTTTTTAAAGTCCCCAAAGCAGGTAAGAACTTCACTCCCATCCCCTCCATGATGAAAGGCATGTCCCCTCCTCTCCCCTCTCCTTCCCATCTTCCCCTGCCTGCGGCTGCTGCTTTCCCCTCCGTCCCAGGGCCAGGCAAGGCTTTAAAGCTGCTCCTTCCAGCTCCAGCTGAGCTGCATGGGGACTGCTGAGAACAGCAACAGCAGCTGCAGTGGGTGTGGGTGTGTGTTGGGGGGTGTTCCCCAACCCTGCCCAGTCCCCTGGAAGCAGACCCAGGGAGAGGGGGACCCCCATGGCTATCACTACTGTCACTGTCACTGTCCCAGCTGAGCCCAGCCCGCACACAGCCTAGCTGGAAGGAGCAGCTTTGAAGCTTTCCCCCACCCCTGGGACAACTGGGAAAGCAGCAGCAGCAGCAGCAGACAGAGGAGGAAGGGAATGGGAGGGAAGGAGATGCGCCTTTGAGCATGAAAGGGAAGGGGGAAGGGACTTTTACCTGCTTTGGGGGCTTTAAAAGTCCCCACAGGCTCCCACAGCGCAGTCCAGTCTGAAAGGTGGATGTTGCCCTGCCACTGCACCCCCTCTGGATCCATCCCTGCTTTTGCCTGAGCAAGAAAGGGAGAGTAAGTGAGCTGAAGATGAGGCTCTGCTCTTGCTGTGTGTGGCCATAGCTCTGGAAAAAATCCCTTTCTTCTTCATTCATCCTCCCCCAAGACAAGGTGTGTTTTTTTATGAAGGGGCATGTGGTAGGTGAGAAAGTACAGTATGCTCTAGCTTGCTACTGTGCAGCACAAAGAAAAACCTGGCTTCATAACTGCTGTCCTCTAGGGAGAGCCCGAGTACAAGGATGCCAGACGCACGGCAGCACGGGCTGTAGGCAGCTCAGCCCACGGAGGGAAGCCGGAGCAGGCTGGCTGCGGAGCGAGACCCGATTCCTTCCCACTCCCTGCACGCAGCCGAGACATGACAAGGATCCACGTGCCATAAAATCATCTCTCTCGCCGTCTGCCTCTAAAGCACGTGGCCAACTTGTGCTATGTGGACATGGAGCCCATGGGCTCGGCCGGCGGCAGGTTTCTCCCAATACTCACGCTTCGTCCTCGAAGCAGTGTGCTGCCGATAAGATCCACCAGCTGCTTATGATCATCCCTCCGCAGAAATGCCTCCCGTGGCTCTGGATGCTCACTTGCCAGGGAAACTCGCCGGCCTGGGCCCCTCGGCCCCCTATGACTCTCATTGTGGTCGCGACGGGTGGCTTGAAGGCAGGTCTGAGGCCGCAGTCTACAAACAAAACACAAGGCGCTCTGTGCACGGAGCTGCACAGTTCACTGGACAGACCTGAGCACACAGAAGACCCCGTCTATGCTCACACCAATAGTGTGTACCTCGGGGGGCTTCAGTGGAGTTACTGCTGATTGACACCTCTAGCAGGCCCACGCCTTATTCTTGCCGGTGACTCACTGAGCTGACAGTGTCCACGTTGCACACAGACATCCCCCTGCTAGCTCGGGTACGGGGTGCATGCTAGCATGGGCGGCTTCCCCTGGCTGCTTGGTTTGACTGGCTGTGCTGAGCTTTGAGTTGCCACAGCTAGTTTGCTACTGGTAGCCAAGCTGGCTAATTTAAACATGTGTGGGTATATCTACACTACATTGCAACTGGGAATGCAGCATAAATAGGGGCCTACAAAGAGAGGAACACGACGCCTGCTACATTAGGCTGACTGGCTCAGAGACTTGGAGTTTCAGGCATGCATATGGGACGAGGAGCTCAACACAATGTTAATAAGGACATACATGTGAAGGCAAGAGGGGCTGTTGCAATAGTCTAGTCTGACCTCTTGTGCTGCACAGGCCGTAGAGGTCCACCAGCTAATTTCCTGTTTCCAGCCCAGGATTTATGGTTGAGATATGGCCTCTTGGAGAGTCAATTGGCTCAAGCACTACCATAGGAAGGTGGAAAAGCGCTGGAATGGGCTATCCAAAGAGGCTGTGGAAACTCTGTTCTTGGGGGTTTTGAAGACCCAGCTAGACAAAGCCCAAGCTGGGATGATGTAGTTGGGGACAGCCCTGCTTGGAGCAGGGGGTTGGACCAGATGTGACCTCCTGAGGTCCCTTTAACCCTCATTTTCTCTGATTCTGTGATTTCAGAGCATGGGGAATCCACCAGCTCCCTTCAGTAAACTCTTTGCACCTGAGTTTGAGATTACTTTGTCTAACTTCCACTACCATTCACTAGATCCTATCGTGCCTGTCTGCCGCCCTAACTAGCCCTCTAGTGCAGAATTGTTTGTCCTTGTGGAGGTGCTGCTAAGCTGTGATCAAACCCCGTGATCTTTCCTTTGATGAGCCAATAGATTGAATTGATTTAGTCTGTCATTACAAGGCAGGATGTCCAGAGGCTGACTCAGCAATTTTTTGACATTTTTGTCATTTTTTTTTTAAAGCGCAAACACCAGAAATGGACAAAATATCCCCATGATGTTGCAGACAGTGGTAATAGCTCCTCCTTATTTCTACTTTAGAGTCCCCTGCTTATACACCAAAGGATTACAGTTTCTGGGAACACGGATGTGCCATGACCCAGTTTCTCTGAAACTGTAGTTTCCAAACTCTAGTTTCCAAAATGCACTCCTGCATGCGATAAGCATAACCTGTGGTCTTGGCCATACATCTAGGAGCCTCGCACGTTGTTCTGTGAGCTCGACTTAGCAGTTGCTTTCAATGCCATGACAATCTGCAAGCTTAAAGAGCAAGGAGCTACTTCTCGTCGCCCACAATACAAGGACTCAGGGACATACCTGAGAATGATTGGGGTGCAGGTTTAAAACTAGCCCAAAGATGCTCTTTTTATACACCGCATGGCATGAACTCATGGCCACAAGATGTGGAGACTAATGATTTAAACAGGCTCAAAAGGGGACTGGAGAAATTCATGGAGGGTACCTCCATCGGTGGGTATTAAACATGAGAGTGAGGGGGGTGGAAAGCGGCCATCGGATGTTGGAAGCTGTTGGGAGAGATGGGTAGGCAACAGATCAGTTTGAACAAGTCCTGCATAAATACCCTTTCCCACTTCAGGCCACAGTGAGAGACAGGTCACTGGACTAGATAGATGGCCCACCTACCTGCATGGCCACGGCTCACGAAGGACGTCAGAAGCCAGAGGGTAAGCAGCAGCATTTTAATCCCATTCTAACCCGGTGCTCCTTGCTCGGGTCCCAAGCGCTGAGGCTGTTGCAGACTCGGGGAGGCCGTCTCCCCAGGCCATGCTCCAGCCAAAGCCAACCACGCCTGCACCTCTCACTTCCGTGTGACATCACACATGCTGTTCATTGCAGGTGACATCACAATAGCGTGCAATGCCTGCTGGGGCAGGGTCGAGGAGACACAGACCTGAGCTGTACGCCGGGGCCCCGGCCCAGATGTTTGGGATTTGGATCGGCCCATAGTGGCGAAGAAACAAGTGGGAAATTGATATCGGATGTGAACTCCCCAGTGGCCCCGCTGTGTCTGGCTCCATTGCTCTGGCTCAGATCTCGCTGTAGGGCTGAGTGCTGTGGCTTTTCCTCCCTCCTGAATGGTTTTCTCTAAGACTCCCAGCTTTGCCTTCCCCGCAGAACCATTTCATTCACTCATGGGAGCAATCAGTCCTCGAGAGGGCTTTCTCTCCCGTTTGATCCTTCCCCCAGGGGAAAGGAAGCCCTCTGCAAGGGTGAGCTGCAAAGGGAGCTCAGTAAAGCTGTGGCTGCAGAACAAGGAGCAATGGTCTCAAGCTGCAGCAAAGGAAGTTAGGTTGGATATAAGGAAACATTTTCTCTCCAGGAGGGTAGTAAAACACTGGGACAGGGGACCCAGAGAGGTGGAGGAGTCTCCATCCTTGGAGGGTTTGAAGCCCTGGTTAGATAAAGCCTTGGCTGGGATGTAGTTGGGGCCGGTCCTGCTTGGAGCAGGGGGTTGGACTAGATGTGACCTCCTGAGGTCTCTTCAACCCTCATTTTGATGATTCTACGTTCCCTTTAATGACATACAGGCCAAACATGGTTCGCAGGGGCAGACCCAGGGTATCAAGTCGGATGCATCCCTAACTCCACTCTGTCCAGCTGAGTTCCCCCAGTGACGTATTTCATTCAGTCTCCATCTTTCACTTCCAGTGACAGCTGTCATGTTGCAAGGGCCAAAACCCATCCTTGGGGTAGCTCCACAGTGAGCACTTGGGGACCACATCCCCCAAGCGTGGCTTTCCGAGGAGCTATGCTAATCTGTCCATCAGGATGATCTGGCCTGTTACTTCTGTTAGAGAAGGAAGAGCCCCACGACGGATGGCCATGCTGGGGGGCCGGTCCCTCCTGACTCCTAAGGAGACAACTGGGAAAAGCATGAGTGTAACAACCAGCAGAAGAGTGTGGGCCCAACAGGGCCCAGGACACCAGATCACACAGAGGGGTTTGGTTTCACACTGAAATCACAACCTGACCCAGGGAAAAGAGCCCCCGGCTCCTCCCACACTGCTGCCCTCAGGCGTGATCCCACTCCAGCCCCAAGAGGCACGCTGGCATAAAAGCAGCCTACGGGGAGCTTTATGTTGCCCTGCTCCTTGCTGCCCATTCACACCGTGCTCGGGGGAACGGGAGACAGGCGCCGGTTTCCCTGGCAGCGAGCAACACAAGGATTTCTGGTGCTGTACTTCACCGCACGCATCCTGTTGCTATAGCAACGGGAGATGCTGCGCGGGATGCTCGCGCGCTTGGGGCATCTCCAGAAAGAGCGGCGTGCTCCCGCCCCGCTGGGAGCCGTGTCGCCCAGGCCCGTCTCCCCACCAGACCAGAGTCGAAAGCAGGGCGGTAGTCCCTCCGGCTTCTGAAGCTGGAAGGGGCTGAGCGGGGAGCCGGAGCTGAGCCCGCTCTTGCCTGACTTTAGGACCAGCTCCTTCTCCCCCTATTCTGTGCCTCAGTGCACTTAGGTGCCGAAGGATGATGCGAGTCCCCCCTATACAAGTCCCTGAAAAACTGCTAATGCTTCCACTTGTGTAACGAGCCCGCATCTCAGCCGAAAGACCAAGGCTAGAGGAGCCTTGAGCCCGAGATGGACCCACTTCACTGCTTCTGAAGTCTTGAGCAGGCTGGTTTAGGGTCACGCTTAGGTGCCTAAATCCATATAGGCACCAAAGAGGTGGAACGGGATCCGGCCTTCAGGGTTTTTCTGAGCAACGGGGCTCACGTGCCGCAATGCTGAGTGTGGAGATGCCGTGGGGGCCTCAAAAGACCTTCTCTGTTCAGCTTCTCTGCCCTTCGACAGGGCATGAGGGGCGCAGGTGCCTGATGATGGGATCCAGCCACTCTAGAGCAAGCCAGTAGGCAATGCTGAAGACCAGAGTGTGTCTTAAATGCTGCTTCTTCCCGGAGCATCGCGCCGCACTCAGGTCTGCAGGGTTTGTCTGAGGCCAAGAACCTGCCCTGAGAAGTAGGCACCTACAAGCTTGCTTTCAAAAATGGAGCCAGAAGCACTCGTTAAACCGCAGGTGGAGGAAGAGCCTCCCTACCCGATTTTATACAATAGCAACCACCCAGGATGAGAGTGCCAGGGTTTATTTCCTGCCTCTTCCTGAGAGGCTTCAGGCCCACGTCAGACCTTGGAGCACCCCATGCACCCGACTGTTATGGAGAAAGGATGCCCTGTAGCCAGCCCCTTGTGACAAGGCCATGGCCCTGTGCAGAAGAGGATTCAAGACTTACTGGGTCAGAGAGAGGAAGCCCAACTCGGTAGCTTAGTGCTTAGGGCACTTGCTTGCAGGTGGGTGCAGGAGGCATGGGCTTGGGTCCATGTTCCCAGGTCTCACCTTTCCTGAGAGGTGAAAGCAGCAGAAATGTTGGCATCTGGAGAACTTTAAAGTAAAAAAAAAAGGAGGTGCCAGGTGAGTTTTGCTGCCTCCAGCGAGAGGCAGACGCAGACCTGGACCTCGGTGCCCCGGGTTGTGCTCAGGTTCCTTTTTGATACGGCCCATGCCGAATCCCCATCCCTAAACCCGGCACAAGCACTGCCTCATAAGAAAGCAGGGCTGGAAAGACCTCACAAGGCCGTCTAGTCCAACCCCCTGCTCAAGGCAGGATCCCATCCCAGCCAAGTGTCTTAAAAATGTCTGAGGATGGAGATCCTACCCCTTCTCCCGGCAGCCTGTCCCAGTGCCGACCACCCTCAGCATCAGAAAGCTCCTCCTAATCTCCAATCTGAATGTCCCCTGCTGCAGTTTGAAACCATCACTCCTAGTCCTGTCCCCTACGGCCGCAGAGAAAAAAGCCCATCTCCATCCTCTCTATAATCACCTTTCAGGTATTTAAAGACTGTAAGCCAATCCCCCCTCAGTCTTCTCTTCTCCAGCTTAAACAATCCTCTTTCTTTCAGCCTTTCCTCACGAGTCTCATCTCCCAGGCCCCGATCGTGTTTGTCCCTGTGCGCCGGGCTCTCCCCAATCTGTTCGCATCCTTCTTGAAGCGTGAGGCCCAAACTGGACGCAGGACTCCAGGTGAAGCCCCACCGGGCTGAACAGAGCAGAAGAATCCCTTCCCTTCTTCGCTTTGTCGCTCCTGTTGCTACAACCCAGGATGCGGCTGGCTTTTTTTTGCAACCGGCTCGCACCGCTGGCTCGTATTCAGCTTACGGTGCGCTGTCACCCTCATGCCCTTCTCTGCAGAGCTGCTGCCTCGCCAGCCATTCCCCAGTTTGCAGAGAAGGATCTGCCAATGGACGTCCCTCCCCTCCCGTCGGCCTCTCCGTTTCAGTGTTGAACTCGTCAGGACAGGAGCTGTCCCTGCACCACACCCAACGCAATGGGGCCCCCAGCCTGCGCGGGGTCTGCCAGGTGCTCCCGTAGTGCAGACGAACGCAGGAAGAATGGCTCTACAATGAAGCCAACCCGAGACCTGCTCCCTTGCACCGTCGCACACAAAAGCACAGATTAGACACCAGCGGTTTTCCATCAGTAGGCTACACCCTTTTATTGTATTTGATGCACTCTCAGATCTAACGAGTCACATATTTAGATCCACAGAGCACGTGGTTTTTTTGGCATGATGTGATTTATTGCAGCGCTGGAAGCAAAACTGCCTCCTTTTGTACGTGTGCACTTTTTGGCCCAGGAGAACCCACCCCCCCACCATCACATTATAGAATTATTATTATTATTATTTACTCCCTTTTTTTTTCTCCAAAAGAATAATCACTAGAGGCAATATGTTATGTTGTGAGTGGGTAAGGGTGAGAGAATTTAACAATTATTAAAACTGTAAATTCCCCAGCCACAAAGAAATCAAGCTGTAGTTGCTATGGTGAAGATAACCCGTATAATATTTTGTGGGAGACAACGTGTTGGGTTATGCTCGCAAAAGCCGAGGAAATTCAGCAAATCGGGAGGAAAAATGCATCCATAAGCATTGGCCATGAAAAGGTTTGCAGGTAAATTTGTGCAACCTTGACGCCAATTCTGATAATTTAGCTAGGAAGGTCCAAAAAAATCTTCCTTTCTCCTGACACAAATAGCTGCTAGTTCACACATGAAAGGGCACAAATTGGGCGGCTGTATTTCGAGCCACGGGACTGGGCACAATTTCAGAAGTCATTCCAACCTTTAGCGTCTGTCCAATCGAAGCAAGTCTGCACTCTCAAAATAAAGAAGGTTGTACCTCCGGGAGCTCACAGACGTGGGGGCACTGCAGGTACGTCATAAACTAGGCGATGCATACGTTTGCTTTCTTGCATTATTCTAAAGAAAACCCAAAGCGGGGTTTGTGCAGCGGTGCCAGCCCTGGTTATTTGCCCGTCCCAAGAGGACAGGAGACTCCAGTGCCCCCAAGCCCACAATAGCCATTGGGGTTCTTGCTCAGGTATTGCTGATGGTAATCTTCTGCGTAGAAGAACTCGGGAGCCTCGCGGATCTCTGTTGTGATCGTGCCAAAACCGCTCTCTGTCAAAACCTGCCAAGAAACAGAGAGATTTCCATTAGCGGTCGGGTTGTTTCTGCCTGGAGAAATAAAGCTGATGACGAATGACGCGAGGCATCATATACAAGAAGAGCTGTAGTCTTTTATAGTCACTTTGTGCTGGAGTTACAGAACGGCCTTGAAAACCCCTCGTCTCTGCTGTCCGATTATTTGGGGGGAAGACCCCTTGGGTACGTGAGCGTCTCTGAGTGAGCAGAGAGAAGCGAGATGAGCTGTTCTGTTTTGTTTCCAAACAGTTGCTTGCTAAATTGGATGTGGCCATGCCTCCATTTTCTCTTGCTTCCCAGTCCCTGGCTGGCAGGGGCTCTGCTGGCAAGGAAAGCGAAATATAGATTCACAGACATGAATGCCAGAAGAGACCATTACAATCTAGTTCCATCTCCTGCATAACGCAGGAGAGAGAATTTCACTCCATCAAAATTGAAATTCAGTTCTACTGATTATGAAACCTTGAACACAGAGCCACAGGCCCAATGGGAAATCATAGCGCCGCTGGAGGCAATGAGAGGTGCCAGGGCTTCGACCCCTGGCATCTTAAATTCTACTCGTCCTGCAAAAAAATAACTTTTATATGAATTCACTATTAAATTTATCTCCCTGACATTGGAACTCTCTACAGGAGAAGAGGGAAGTCTGGCTTTCATCAATGATTTTTAAGGCAATGACGATAATGTGTAGATCTCAAAGTGTTTTACAGAAGGGACTGAAGCATTGCTATTCCCCTTCTCCAGGTGGTGCAAATAAAACACTGAAAGAGTCCAGGTACATATTTCTTAGAAAGTGCCAAAGTCTTTCAGGTGCCAACGTTTACTGCAAGCAGCTGATTTTGCAAAGCTACCGAGCACAATTCTATGTGAGCCAGTGGGAAAGCTGGGTGCTGCAAACTTCACGGACGTGATCACCAGCATGGCAGTCCTAAGCCTGGGTCAAAGAACTCAGCACAAAAATCTAGAAGTAGCACAACAATCTAGGAGAAGGTGAAGATGCATTTCGAAGCCTCTGTAAGATGGAAAAAGCCTGGAGGTGGGGCACTATCCTATATAACGACAGTCATTTACAGGTATCAGTTACTTGCGAACACAATAGAAACCAAGACTAATGTGAAAAATACAAAAATGGGTTTTAGAGACGGGGGCACATTTACATGTGCCTTAATGCACTTTAGCTAATGCTCATTAAATCTAGTACAGGGGTTGGCAACCCCCGGCACGCGGGGCAAGCATGGCCCGCGAGGCTACTTTCCTCGGCATGTGTTGGGGCCGAGGCGGGAAGGCAGCAGCTGTTTGCAGCCTCCCGGCTGCAGCAAGGGGCACTGCATGATGCGCACACTGCTCCTGTGCACACAGGGGAAGCGTGACCCAGGCAGCGCGGAGCTTGCAGCAGTAGGCAGCTTCCCTGTGCGGCCCCTCTGTGCGCTGCTGCTCTGGGTGACACACACTGTGCTCCGGAGGGCCCAGGGGAGGGCAGCAGGGCCAGGAGCAGCAGGGCCGGGTGGCAGGGACTCTGGGTGAGGGGCAAGGGGCAGTAGGGCTGGGGGGCAGGGACTCTGCGTGAGGGGCAAGGGGTAGTAGGGCTGGGGGGCAGGGACTTCGGGTGAGGGGTAAGGGGCAACAGGGCTGGGAGGAAGGGGCTTTGGGTGGGGGGCAAGGGGCACAAGCAGAGCATCCTGCCATGTACCTCCTGCCCTCATTTTGCTTTTCTGGCATGCTGGCACTCCGGCACCTTCCAAGGTAGCCATTGTGGTTTCTTCGGCACTCCAGCCAAAAAACGTTGCCTACCCCAATCTAGTACCTCTGGACTCCTATACTCGAGTGCTGAGGCTGGAATCCAGCACGTTGGGGCAGATTCGATTAAGCAAGTCTACTGAAACATGGCAATTGCCATGTTCCCGCAGCCTCCTGTGTCTCATGTATCAGTGTCCCCGAGCTTAAAAATGGTGGTGGGAGCACTGGAACTAAAACCGGGAAAATGAGCTTTAGTTCAAGCATCCCCACCACCATTTTTAAGCATGGGACACTGATACACAAAACACAGTGGCACTTTCATTAGAGCAGCTCTTGGAAATTAAAGCGCTGCTCTTTCCCACCCCCAGAGCACGGGTAAAAGTGCCCACTATTGTGAGGTACTAGGAAAATGCATATTAGCTTGTCTAATGTGCATTAACTAAAGAGCATGGTTTTTAAGTGATGCTTAATGCGCATTAGCCTATTTTAGTTTGCACCAACTAAATAGCACATTTTTTAGTGATGCTTTAATGGGCATTAAAATAGGTTAAGGCCCATTAAAGCCTAAGTGTAGATGTGTCCTGGGAGACTGAACCCTAAAAGGAATTAAGAGCAACATTCGAATTCTACTCGGAGTTCTGGGGTTTCCTTCCTCAAAGCGAATCATCCCTTTCATATTAGTATGAGATTTTAAAGGCAAATTACAGCTCCTTTCCAAAGCATGTGTCTCTGAAAAGGAAGATTTGCCAATCCATGAGCCCACAGAGATGATACACAGTTCACCAGTCAGGGCGAGCAGCCGTGTGGGTGGATAGTCTAAATGAGACTTGGAATTCTTTGTGTCTCTAAACAAATCTGAATTTCCTCCAAGGTTGTTAAAGGCCAACTGCTTTGAGCTGCTCTGAAGTTCCAACCATCACATTTCTCTTTTCTAAGGGAGGAGAGAGACAAAGGCTAATACCTTGAACGTCTTTCTCATCTTTTGCAGAACGTGGCCCTCTGCTCATTGAAGTAAGTGGCTCACATTGACTTTAACGATGCTGGATTAGTGCCTTCAGCTATTGTAAAGGAGGAATAACTCCTTGGATATCAATGAAATGACAATGGTATAAGGCAGATGTGACAACATGATCAAGCCTAACACTTAGGTGCCAGGCAGATCTGCGTTCACCCTCACTACCCTGAGGAATAAAACTGAGAAAGGAGAATACTTATGGATGGAGGGTGCCATTGGTTTGGGAAACTCATTGCCATGAGGCAGCACTGAATCCAAGACCTTAACAAGATAAAAAAAAAGTTGGGGCATTTTTAAAAATTAAAAGAAAATCCAGAGTTAGAACAAGAAAACTTAAGAATTAATCACACACTTTGGAAAGGGCATAAACCCTTGGCATAAGCCTACATCTACCTGCTGGGGAGTTTGGAGGCTGTTTTCTTTTGCATACTGCCCGGTTTTGAGCTCCTTCTTCAGAAGGAGGTAGTTCTGACCGCTGTCTGAAAGCAGGTGCTGGACTAGATGCTGGGCTGATCCATGTTGCTCATTTCTACCTTGATGGGGATACAGTTATGAAGCTTTACAGCACTGATTCTCAACCAGGATGCTGCAGCACCCTAGGGTGCCGTGAGATCCTTTAAGGGTGCCATTAGCACTGTTAGGTGTGCAAACCTCTACACATGATTCACAAGATATGTCCAGGGATTTCAAATAGGAATCTGTAGTGTGAAAACCATTTTGACCTGGCATGGTCTTTCTGCCTTCTCTAGTCTGAATTTCTCTATTATTTTTCTGTAGTCCAAAAAATGAGGGAAAGCATACTTGGCAACGGGGTCTGCCACACGAACGGAGCTCATAACACACAGGAGGAAAATGAAGTACAAGATCCTCGAAAAAGGCTGTGGTTTCCTGCAAGAAACCCAAAGGGGTCCTGAAGAAAAAAGAGCTGGTCTACAACTGCCACCAGCTCCAGAAAGAATGGCACAAATTTTGTCATCCTGGTTATTAATCTTTTACGTCGCAGGGACTGGCCTCGCTCATTGTGAATCCAAAATGCCCTGCTGTACGGTTGGGTATATTTGGACTGCATGTAATGATCCCTGTGGTAGATTTTTACCTGGGACTTTTCCATCAGTGGCCTAAAACCACCCATTAGAAAAGGCAGACTGTTCGATATCCCGCCACAAGAGGGCATGGCCATCATTTATCCTTCTCATAATTGCTAAAAGGCTGCAAGCTGAATAATGTAGAAACCCCAAGACAATGTAGCATATTGCACTTTGGCCTTCAGTAAAAGATACCAGCCCTATTATCAGAAGCATCAAGGAAAAAATATGGGTTTCAGTTCCCTGCCAAAGCCTAAATTTGAGATTGTTGCAAGAGGAGCCACGAGAACGAGGAAAGCAGGTCTTGGAGCAGAAGATGCAGGCTCCACACATTTAGCTCGTCCAAGAGAAGGTCAAGGGCTGATGTGACTGCAGGGCACGTCTACACCATAGGCAAGCTCCACGTGTGCCACCAACTTGCTTTCACACACAGGCTTTGGACCTGGAAGCACACCGGTGAGCCCATGCTGGGGTCACCCCCTGTGCCTGCTCTCAAATTCCCCAGAGACAGGTCTCGAGAACGGCCATAGAGCAACCTCCCTGGCATTTCTTCATAAAGGCTAGGGACAGAAATGACAGATAAACTGGTATAAGTGATGGGAAACTGGTTCCAGTCTGTAATACACCAGAAGTGCAGTGCACACAAACCACTTTCAAAATGGCTGGACTCAGTTTAAGATAAACTTGGATGGATGTGGTAGTAGATTAAAATGATTTAGGTTAAATCCGTTTATTGAACTTCTGTCCCAGATCTAGGAGTGTGGGGAGGAGGTGGCAGAGCCTGCTCAGAAAGGGCTTGGCCATGGCTGGCTGTCTCCATGGTATAAATGTGCCCATCTGGGAAATGGGATCGGGTGGGAGACCACTCCTCGGTCTGACAGCGGGAAAACAAGATCCAAAGGCCAGAAGTGGAAGCTGGATGGATTCGACCAGGCAAGACTTTTTTTAACAGTGTGTAATGGACCATTGGACCAATGTGCCAGAGCTAACGGGGGCCATTCCAGCCAGGAAATCCCATGGCCTCTGTTTTGCAGCAGGTCAAACTAGATCCTCATAAATATAGGGAGCTTGTGATCCCTTCTGGATTTATGATTTATGAATCTGTCCCTCTCAGAGTCTGTTGGGAGAGGCCCAAGCCAAAACATGCAT